AATAGCTGAATAATTATTCCATGAAGGTTTCATAACTTCATGGAATATTAATATTATATAACTTTTCTTCTTGTGAGTTCTAGAGAACTCCAGTTGCTTCTAAGCAACGTGGCGCGACCATGAGCGACATCTAGTTTCTTCATGGTGCGATTTCGTTTGCTTTGGGCGACATCTAGTCGACCCACGACAGGCCTTGCAGACGACGCAATATTCATTCATGTGCGCTCTTTTTTTTTCAATTTTTCTGCAGGACTGGCGGGATTGGATGCAAAGTCTAGCGGAAAGATGGGCTCCAGAGCCCTGGTCTACTACTTCGCCACGACGATCCTGGCTGGCATCACGGGCATCTTCGTGGTGGTCGCCATCCATCCGGGGGACCCGAGTGTCAAGAAACTGGCGCATCAAGAGGAGAAGGAGAATATCAAAGTTCTCGACACCTTCCTCGACATCTTCAGGTCAGAACTTTTTTCTCGGTCTCCACGTCGTCGTCACTCATCGTCGTCAGGAGACGGATTATATTCCTGGTTTTTGCGTCTGTCTCATTCGTGTCACGTTGCGAGGGATATATATGTGGTGTTCAAGTTTCTGATGGGGTGCTGGCGTCTGTCATAAATACGAAAAAAAAGTATCTGAAGAATGGATATTTCTTCGGAATGCAGTATGTGGCTTCATTTTTTTTATCCGTAAAATTATATAACATTTGAAAAGGAAGAATGCGCGTCAAAGACACTTTTTCGAGTTATTGGCTCAAACATTTATTTGTCTTGCTGGTTGATGGCCATTTTTTTCACGAAATACGAACGAAAATGTACGTATATTTTCATTAGAAAATTAGTCAGTCGGCTTTCTTCCCTGAATTCTAATTTTCCCTCGACTTGAAGTTATTCAGGGGATATTTTCGTTCTGAAACTTGAATAAAAAACTGCAGGACTTAATTATGAAATTGAAATCAATGTCCGAGGAAAGACTTGTCCTCTATACAGAGCTCGGCAAAATATTTCTTAAATTTCTTATTATATTTAATCCTGCATGGGCATTATTTTTTTAACAGTGATTGAACAGTTACCTCTGCGGACTTCTATAAATTCCAAAAATAGTTTTTACTTTCACAACAAATTATGAACAATTAAACAAAAATGTATCCTTGTTTTATATTTTAAAATGAGATCTTCCGTGGTAATAAGCCAGAGACCTCTTCTTTAAAAAAATAAAAAAATTAGAGACCAGCATGCAATACTCCTTGTAAGAATCGTGAATAGTACATGAGTACGACATGCAGAGCGACAAGATACCACATTTTCTATCAAACTGGGGTACTGGTATCGAACCTTACTTGGCCCACTACAAAAAAGTAGAACTAACTTATCCAAATCCGTTCCGAAAATACTGTATATCATCATGACTGAACCTATTTCACCGACCGTTTGCTGTTCATGTTTCATATTTTAAATCTTTGTGATGATTCGAGTTCTTGAATGCTAACATTTTGCAAACTCACATTCTCTTATTCGCATTTTCCTCATTCAAACTGTGTCACGCCACTTGAAAGTACTGCTTTATATCTCATGCACGGGGTCAGATATGCCTTCTTTTAAAAAAAAATTTTTGGGCTGCGTTGGTTTACAAAATCGTCCGACTATACTCCAAAAATTCCTTTCTCTCTTTTTTTTTTTAATTATGAGTCTGATCCCAGTGCATGTCATGTTGTATGTACACACGAGACGAAGCGGAAGAGGCCATTCTGTTTAAAGCCCTTCCGTGCTCGTACGGAAAAAACAGCCCAAGGGCATGGAAACGCAAAACAAAAACGGCCACAGAATCTCTTTTTTTTTAAGTAAATTTTTTTTTCAGCGTCAATACAACGAATTATTTTTAAGAGATTTTACTCTGTTTTCAATACAAATGTCGGGATTTTGAAAGTTTGCGTACAATTTTGTTAGAAAACGGTGACAACTTTAAAAATTTCCCCTGAAAAGTGCACAATTTCCAATCTCATGGGAAATTCATACTTTTTCGATGATGAGGTATAAAAGCAATGGTTTCTGCGATCTTAAGGATTTAACTTATAAGTGGTGTACTAGTAGAGGTGGTAGAAGTACTACTACAGCAACTCTTGCATCTTTTTCAGTCTCTCGTGAAAAGGAAGTCGAGGACGTCGTGACTACTGCTCAGGCAAGCAAATGCAGAAAGCAATGATCCCTATATACGCAAAGTAAACACATCCTCGATTTAAAAATTCAATTCATAGCGTTATGGCCTTCCCTTTTTTTTGAATTACTGTCGAAAATTTAAACTTTTCCGAAATGAACTCACCCAATACATTCATGCCTTGAGTGTACTCGAATTCCCGGATCGTTTTGGTGGCAGTTTCGTTGTAGTCTTCCATGGTTTCATTCAAGGTTTTGTTGAAATGCGGGTTTGGTTTTTCTTTGTAAACCGTTTTCAGTTGCTGGAAACACGCCTGTACCAAGTTCTCCGGAAACATGTTCCTGAAAATAAAAATGAGATAAAGAAATACAGTACTGTACATGATTTAGACGATGATATTGGAACCAAGTTCTTTTGTTACAAAATATACATTTTGCAGTTTATTTTCTTACGAGTTCATTCTGTTGAAAACTGTTATTTGACAAATTATATTTTAGCCAACAAAAAATCGGGGGCCGGTCTGACATAACAGGAAGAGGTTTTCGGACAAATGTTACACGCACAAATAAAATCTAGACGCGCCTCTCACTCAAGAGCTTATTGGCACACTCAAGTAAATACAGCATTAGCATCATCATCATCATCCCAGGAAAATGTTCCGAATGACCCCCACTGCATGTGACCCACATATCCCAGGGAAACTGGTACTGCATCATCATCCCACACCTACTATACCGTATATCCGCAGGAAACGCATCTCTTCACGGCCTGCTATCCGCGCGAAAGAACGCAGTTATAAGAAGGCCTCGGATCCGATGCCTTCCACACGCTGATGAAGACGCATGACTTGGTCTCGGATATGTGTATGATGTACTGTATATAAAATCTCATACAGCGTATATACAGTATACCGTACGTCAAGCGTATAAATAAATAAATAAATGAGAAGGGGGCGGCGGTATTCGGGCGACATTTTCTGGTGTCCAGAATGCGTCGTCTATATACAGGGTGGGCCAAAAAAAGTGAACTGATTTTCTACATGTAATAGCTCAGTAACAAATTGAGCTTCGGCAATGAAAAATGAAACTCGAAATGAAAGCTCACAAGAACTATTTGAATGAAAACTTTCAATTTCAATGGGTGACATTTTCTGGTGTCCAGGATGCGTCGTCTATATACAGGGTGGGCCAAACAAAAGTGAACCAATTTTTGACTTGAAATAGCTCAGTAGCAAATTTAGCTTTGGCAATGAAAAATAAAACTCAAAATGAAAGCTCACAATAACTATTTGAATGAAGACTTTCAACAACAATAAAAGGTGTCAGGTGAATTTTTCCAGTGAGCTGCTGCTGATCTGGAGAGCGGTTTGCATCAATAAAGGAAATGAATGAGGCAATAATGTAACCAGCAAACTTCGTGCTGTCTTGG